AAAATGTACATAATTTTAGGGGCGGAGCCTTCTTCAGGCCGTAAGCTCACACATCCAATTGGAAATCTCGGGCCACGCCCATTAATTCTATGGTGGTGACCTGGGTGACACCTACTTGGGTGGGTGTGCAAAACAACATACATAAACACATTAGGCTTTTTGTTTGTTTTTACTGTTGCGGGACAGGACAGGACAGGAAGTATTTGGGAAACCTGTGGATGATGTTCCTTTGAATGTGGAGAGGGGGTACTGTAGATCAGGAAGAATTGAGATGTTTGAATTTTTGCGAAGCTTGGTGAAATTTCAGATAGAACATGTTTTGGAATTCAAATTTTTACAAAAAACTTTGTGCCACGTGGATTTTTTAGAGCAATAATGCCACGTGGATTTCAGATATCAAGAATTTAGAAGACTAAAAAATGAGAATTTTTAAAAATAATAATTTTGATTCGAAAATGCCACGTGGATTTCAGATCTCAAAGAGATTCTAAAAATAGTGCCACCTGGATTTCAAAAAAAAGAAGAATGCCACGTGGATTTTTTTCTAGAACCAAAAAATTTTTGGAAGTTCAAAATTGAAAAATTGATCCACCAGGATTTTTCAAAAAGAATTTTGACTCGAAACTGCCACGTGGATTTCAGATGTCAAGTATTTAAAAGATTCTGAAAATTGTGCCACCGGGATTTGAAAAAAATAATTTATACTCGAAAATGCCACGTGGATTTCAGATATCAAGAATTTAGAAGACTAAAAAATGAGAATTTTTAAAAATAATTTTTATTCGAAAATTCCACGTGGATTTTTTAACGCAAAAATGCCACGTGGACTTGACATTTTTGAGATTCTAAAAAATTGTGCCATCTGAATTAAAAAAAAAGAAGAATGCCACGTGGATTTCAGATGTCATGTATTTAGAAGATTCTGAAAATATTGCCACGTGGATTTTTTTGGCGCAAACAATTTTTGAAAGTTCAAAATTCATTTTTTTCAAAGATCCTATTTTCTCGCTAAATTTTCGGAAATTCAAAATTGTTTTCCGAAATTTTCTGACATCAGAATTTTCAGATTTTTTCTTGCCAGGTATATTTCATTGACAAACTTTCAAAATCCCAAAAATCCTCCACGTTTCATTGTTCCAATTACCACTGAATAGATTTTCTAACAATATTTACCCTAACTCAGCTATTATTCATTGTTAAATAAACCAGTATATTCATTACAAAATCCACACCTTCTTGTCTCTAAAACAATGCGCGATTACCGTAATACTCAACTTCTCATATCATATTTCCTTCTCCCTCCACAAAAAATCTTTTCAATTTCTTTTCTTTTATTCACAAGAGTCAATGTGTGTGCCTCTTCACAATAATTGTTTTGAATTTGAAGAGCAGAAATGATGCTCTACAGTAATCCTTCTTATATAATATATGTATTATAACCAAAAAAATTTGAGGAAGGTGTCAATGTCAACAAAGAATTTTTGCGGTGTGCTTTTTTAAGGGGAGCACCCACTTCATTATGGGAAGGGAAGATTAGAAGATTTGTGGGATGGGAGAATTTCCAGATATATTTTAGAAGGTTACCAACTGTGTTTTCTGAAAATTGGATCAACTTCAGAGTTTCTTGAAGTCGGAAGTTCCCAAAAATCACAAAATGATGACAAAACAACCGGACGCAATTTAGAAAAAAAGCTTGCCTCGAGTCGGGATCGAACCCATGACCTAATGATCAAAAGACGGGAGTGTTTACCACTCGGCTACGCGGTCCTGTTTTTCCGTCCGCAAATTTTTAATATATGAAACGAGGTGCATTTTCGATGGCGCAAAACTGTTTTTGCGTGCTGAAAATTCTGGAATTTCTAAATTTCGAGCCTCAATTGCTCTCGGGCTCACCAAATTCACAATATACCCACAAATTAGAATACCTCCTAAACATAATATTATTTTTACTAACCCGCGAATTATTAATTTTAGGGTTATTTTTATTTTTGCATGTTTTGTTTTGTTTTGACCATATTCTTCTCCCTCCCCCTCTTGATATTAAGCTTATAATTAAAAATCTGCACCCAGAAAGCAAAAGACGTTTACCGCGAAAGCTCGTGTAATATCTAATTATAAGTAAGTAGAACAAAAATCGGAAGAACCTGCTGGCTGATGGGATTTTTTGGGGGAGAAAAACTAAGTTATGACTTTTCAGGTGTTGAAATTAGAGTTCAAAAAGACAAAAAAGCACAAAAAATTAAAAAAAACAACGACGCAACACACACATTTTTGAAAGAGTGCGCGGCATGCAATTTTTATCAATGGGGCGCACTTCCATCTTTACTTTTATTTTCTTGTTTTTTTGTTTTTCGCAAATGTTTTTTTCGTGTTTTTTGATGAATTTGAATGGATATTGTTGTAGAATTCATATTTATCTCATTTCCTAGTAAAAGTAACACAATTTTAGTTGATTTTTGATAGTTTTATACTAAAACTGGTGCTTAAAAAGTTATTTTTGTGAAAATTGTGCTTTCTTGAAGTTTTTTTTCGTTTTAAATTTGACAAATTTGTAATTTACAGGAAAAACGTCAGCGACATGATAGAAATATATCGAAACAATTCATGAAGCGAGAAAAACTGGAGGAAAAGTGAGTTTTTTAACATTGTTTTTGAAACATTTGAATATGAGCAATACTAGATTTTTCATTCAAAGCTCAATAAAAATTTAAATGTTTTTTGGCGCCAAATTCTACCGTAGCCCCCCCCCCATTTCCCTGCTTAAAATTTCAATTTTGTTTCATTTTTGTGGGGGTGGTGGTGTGTTTTGTGTGTATTTGTTGTAAAACTGACTCTATTTGAGTTTTTCTTCGCTTTGCTTTGCTTTTTGCGAAACTTTCGTCTAATCAGCTTAAATAATTCGGTGTGGCGCAAGCAAGCAACATTTTGTGAAAACGGGAAGCAAAAAAGAGATGGGGTTGAGGTTGTTTAGTTGTACTTTGGTTATCAGTGGAGCGCATTTGCTCTGGGAATGGGACTTTTTTTGGAATCTATTAAACGCTATAATCATCAGAACAAGACTGGAAAATTCCGGGTTTGGAAACTATTTTAGAAATTTTTGAAACGTATTTTCTGGGGGATGAATTTTACAAAATAATTTAGAAAATAATATGAGAAGCTGTTAGGAATACTGTAGTCAAATATTTAAGAAACTTTTGAGTCTGAGTTTATAATTATTAATTGGTTATCAGTGGAGCGCACTTGCCCCAGGAATTGTTTTTTTTTTGTTGAAACAACAGGATGTAAGATGACTAGCAAATTCCAGTTTTGAAAAAAATTTGGCAAATTTTTGAAACGTATTTTTCTGGGGGGGGGGGGGATGAATTTTAGAAAATAATTTAGGAGAAGAGTTTGAGAAGCTGTTATGAATACTGTAACAAGAATTCTGAAGTTTTCCCACCACAGTACCCTTTAAATTCAATTTACAAACGTGTAGATCAAGTTTTGCTTCCAAAAATCTGGAACCCATAAAAATCTCATCAGTATTCTAAAAGTGTTCCGCTAATCGAAAATTTTCTCCTTTTTTCATTTTCTTTTTCGATTTCCAATTTTCAATGTCAACCGCAACAAAAAAACATCAATAAATAAATGAATACAAATACTTTGTCCCTCGATTTTTCCAATTCTCTCGCAAACTTTTTTTGTTGTTGCCACAAATCGATTTTTCTTTCTTGTACTTATGTACATACTTTTTTGATCCCTGAAGAAAATTTCCAAACAAAATTTGAAATTTAATAACCACACCCAAATGACTCATATTTTTGGACAACAAAATAAGAGAAAAAAGGGAGAGAGGAGGTGGGGACAGAATTTTGTAAAGATTTTTTTGGCTGGAAAAATCGGGTGTATAAATAGTTTTAGTTGGGTTTTGGAATGTTGCATTTATTTTTGATTTTGGGGGAATTTTTGGGGAAAGTTAGAGTTAGGTTAAGTCAAAAGACTCAGGTTTAACCTTAACACATAAGAGAGGTGCTCAAAAATTTCTGGACTGAATTTGAGCCTCAAGCCCAAAATTTAGGCTCATAGAAAAGTCAGGCCTGGGCTTCACATAAAATATAGGCTCACTGGAAAAATTAGGCCTTTTTGGAATTGGCGCAGGCCTAACTACTTCCGGACTTGATTTATGGGCCTAAATATTGGCCTGTTCATTTTCTACCTTCCTTTAAAAGTCCACCCAATTTTCCCAACCAAAAGCAAAAATATCCAGTTTGTTGTCTCTCATTACATATAATCTGACTGACTTTTTGTGGGTCAAACATTCGATTTCTCTGCCGTCTCTCTTCCATTTTCACTCTCTCACTTTTC